TATTCGACATGTTAATCACGCAAATCACATCAATTTTAAGTGATAGCGCCTCACTGTGGAGAACGGTAAGAGTACAGTAAATGAGTCAAAAACACGAATTGCCCGAGAAGTTTTCTAGAGGTGTTCTTTGACAAACTGATCACCAGATCGTATCCATTCCGCATGGTAACTCTTTATTGTAAGATGTTAATCTTAACCTAACCGTACGCCTACCGTATCTACACTGCACTATTATGTATGGATATATTTGTAATCAACTTGTCAATTAACCCTGCTATTGCACTTTGAGCTAAATCGGTAATACCATTCCCTTACAGTGTGCTCACCGCATCCCTATAAGAAGGCGTTACCATGCGGAGCGAATATGATATTCGTGTTATGCATGTCCGATAAGTTCTTTAAGGAAAGATATAACAAAATCCGAAGTTTTGAGTTCTTGGGCCAGAGTAATTGGAATCAGTCATAGTTCTATGTTTTCTCTAGACTGGCGCTAAAGTTCTTACATGCCTGACTCATAGGGGATTTCTTGGAATTTTGCTTCGAAAACCCGAAACCTGGCCAAGTACGATTATAGCCATTATAAGGATTCGTATCTGCACCTCGAACATCTTGCTTTGACGGGTCGCCCACAATTTGTAAATTGGAGACAAGAGACACATGTGTCAAAAGCTTGCAAGTCTCTAAGCACCTCCACTTTCTTTCCAATTTTCCTCCTCATAAGAAGAAGACTCCCCCTAATTTGCTTGAAAGAGCGCTAAATGGCCAGAAAGTAGAACTTCCCTGACAGAGTGTTCTAGACATTATTTACAGTCGCGAAAAATGGTAATTATCTCTTGTATGGGATAGTACAATATATGAAAGCAGGAAGTACAGACTTGCAGCGAGACGATTACACACATCTGGTGACGAGAAGCAGTTTTGCGTTGCAGGTGTGCAGGTTGTGCAATCACACAGGCAGCGCGCTGATATTCGTTTAGCGATTCGAATTGTCCACAAATGTCTTTACCGCCTCAGTTTTTCCCTCGCTTTTTATTCAGTTTCACTCTTGCATTTTGAAAGTATCGTTTGTTTATATGCTAAAATTAAGGACTTTGTGGTTGAGCAGTATTTATTTTCTACCATCATGGGTTGGAAAGACAAGGAGTCCAAGAAACTAGAGGGAAAACGCTTCTTGGTGATTGGAGCTGGAGGAATAGGTTGCGAGTTGTTGAAAAATATAGCTCTGACGGGTTTTAATGACATTCATGTAGTAAGTTATTTTTTTAAGGATTTACATATATTTGTTGTTCTGTCTTGCGTTTCACTTTTTCTTCTAGTTGTTTTTAGATTGATATGGACACCATTGACGTTAGTAACTTGAACCGGCAATTCCTTTTTCGACGGGAACACGTGGGGAAATCAAAAGCTGAAGTAGCAACGCAAGCCATTCGCCAAATGTGTCCAGATATCAGGATCACCTTCGACTTGGACAACATATTTAGGTTCGATATTGATGCTCTAA